ACAGTCAAGTATGTTATTTTATTCTTGCATACTTTCAATAGAAACATATTACATATTAATATACAAATTATGCCTCTAAACTAGGAATTTCCAAGTTAGGAAAGATACTAATCCTAGGAGATGTAATCCCTTGAAATAAGGGATTTGAAAAATAGAAAATAATTACAGAATCTCTTGACAGCTCATTTCTATAATTCCTACACTCCCCCTCAAACTGGTGTATATATGTTGTATATACCCAGTTTGAATGACAGCTCATCAAAAGTCACTCGTGGAAGGGCTTTGGTGAAGATATCTGCAAGCTGTTTCTTCGTCGGAATGTATTGCAGTTGTGCAACTCCATTGTTGACCTTCTCGTAAATAAAATGTCTGTCTATCTCAATGTGTTTCGTTCTATCATGCTGCACTGGGTTTTTTGCTATACTCATAGTTATTGACTGTCACTAAAAATCTCAAAATTCTTCTTGTCATCTAAGTCCAGTTCTGTGAACAATCTTTTAATCCACATTCCTTCACATATTCCGAGAGCCATTGCTCTAAACTCTGACTTAGCACTACTTCGAGAGACAACGACTTGTGTCTTACTTCTCCAAGTCACCAAATTACCCCAAACGCAGGCACAATAGCCACTAACTGACCTTCTATCAGTTAATTCACCTCCCAGCTTGCATCCGTATAAACCTTAATTGTTCTGTCTTGATTTTTTCTAAATATAAGTCCAGCTCCTGGGGTAAACTTCAAGAACCATAGAATTCTGTTAACAGCTTCCAAATGTTCTTCTCGAGGATCACTCATATGTTGGCTGACAATGCTCACCGAGTATGCAATATCAGGCCTGGTCAGTGAAAGGTAGATCAACTTCCCAACTAACCTTTGGTAGGTTTCCTTGTTTACTGGATTTCCAGTCCGGTCCTTAAAAATTTCAAGCCTGGCTCTATTGGAGTTTCAACTGGTTTGTAGTCGAGCATCCCTGTTTCTGCAAGAAGATCCAAAACATACTTACGTTGGTTTATGACCAGCCCTTCTTCGAACCTTGCAACTTCCATACCTAGAAAATACCTCATACTCCCTAAATCCTTGGTTTCAAACTCCTTTGCAAGATTCATCTTTAGCTTTTCTATTTCTTTTATATCACTGCCAGTTATAATCATATCATCTACATAGACAATTAGGAGGTTATCTTACCACTCGGTGTAATTTTTCTGAATAATGTGTGATCCGCTTGGCTTTGTTTGAAACCATTCTGTGTCATAGCCTTAGAAAATCGATCAAACCAAGCCCTGGGAGACTGTTTTAAGCCATATAAGGATTTATTGAGCTTGCACACAGTTTTCTTAGTGATCTTTCCTTTTAATCCGGGGGGACCTCCATGTATACTTCTTCTTCAAGGTTCCCATTCAAAAAAGCATTCTTTATGTCCAACTGATGCAATTTCCAGTCCATATTAACAGCTACTGATAACAATATTCTAATGGTATTCAATTTTGCAACCGGTGCAAAAATCTCCTGGTAGTCGATGCCATATGACTGAGAAAAACCTTTAGCAACCAGCCTTGCCTTGTATCTTTCCACACTCCCATCCGAATGATATTTGACTGTGAATATCCACCTACATCCAACAGCTCTCTTCCCTTCTGGCAAATCTGTCAAACTCCATGTTTTATTCTTTTGCAACGCTTTTATCTCCTCTTCCACAGCCTTTTTCAACTCAGGAGATTGAAATGTTTCTGTCACATTTCTTGGGATTTTCACACTGTTAATGCTGACAGTGAAGGCCCTGAAATTAGGCTGTAATTTCCTATATGCAACATACTTATTTATGGGATGAGCAGTGCATTTTCTTACCCCCTTCCTAATAGCAATAGGAAAGTCATCAAGATCAACAGTAATAGCCTCTTGGTAACTATCATTACTTTCTGTTTCAGATGCAACAGGATCCGAATCTAGTTCTTGGCTTTCAGAGGCATCAGGATCCGAATCTGGTTCTTGGCGAATGCTAGGCTGACTGATTTCTTCAACAACATCTTTCCTTCTTCTTGAGCAAACACTAAGTTATTTCGGATGGGGATTTATGGTTTTAGGGTCATTGTTAGGTGCATTTTTGATAGTGGTGGAAGGGGTTTTGCACGGACTAGAGTTCTGAGGTAAGAAGAAAGGTAATTCATCAGAGTTATTTAGGTTATTCCCATCACCCTCATTAGGAACTGGAACTGTGCTAGCCGACTTTGGAGAGACAGTAATAGGTAAAAAAGGATAGGTTGTAAAGAAATATTGGTTTGAATAGACTGAAATTCCTTGTAACTCTCCCCCTGAATTTCTGTTCCCAAAATATAAGGTTGGTTTTCAAAAAATGTAACATCAAAGGAGACATATGTCTTTTTTGTAGAAGGTGAGTAACACTTGTAACCCTTCTGACTCGAAGAATAGCCCAAGAACACGCACTTTATGGACCTAGGATCTAATTTCCCTCTGTTGTGGATATGAACAAAGGCTGTACACCCAAACACTCGAGGAGAAAGACTTGAGTTTAAATGTTTAAAATGGGGAAAAAGTTGAAACAAAACCTTAGTAGGAATTTTGAAATCTAAAGTCTTACTTGGCATTCTATTGATGAGGTACGTGGCTGTAAGAAGAGCTTCCCCCAAAGATACTTAGGAGCATTAGCAGCAAACAGAAGAGACCTAGTAACCTCTAGAAGATGTCTATTTTTCCTTTCTGCTACCTCGTTTTGTTGAGGTGTGTTGACACAAGACGTAAGGTAAACAATGCCTTTTTCCTTAAAGAAATACCCAAGAGTTTTATTCAAATACTCACTCCCATTGTCACTCCTCATAATTTTTATTTTTGTGTCAAATTGGGTTTCAACTTTTTGATAAAAACTTTTAAAAAGAGATTCAACCTCAGACTTTTCTCTCATTAAGAATACCCATGTTGTCCTAGAGTAATCTATAAAAGACACAAACCACTTATACCGAGAAATATTTTTGACAGGAGAAGGGCCCCAAATGTCATTATGGATGATGGAAAAATGTGTTGTTGGTTCGAATTTGGCTACAATATATGGTTTTCTGGTGTGTTTGGCTATTTGACAAATTTTACAGAAAATTAAGGATGGATCTTTATTTATAAATAAATTAGGTAACATTTTAGAAAGAGAGTAAAAATTAGGATGACCTAATCTAGAGTGCCATAACATAATTTTATCGGTATTGAGATCAAAAGATAAAATTCCAAGGGTGTACAATCCTTTGCCCAGCCTAGCACTGCCAATCACCCTCTTCGAGTCCTATGCCTAAAAAATGCAACCACCAGTACCGAACACAACATTACAACCAGAATCTTTAATTAATTTGTTGACTGATAGCAGATTGTATGCAAGTCTAGGAACATAGAGGACATTATGACGTATTAGATTTTTGTTTAATATAACATAACCACTCCCTTTGACTGTAAAAAGAGAGCCATCTGCTATTTTGATAGAAACTGGTAAGCTGCTTTCATTATATTCCTCCAAGAGATCAATATTTCCTGTCATATGATCTGATGCACCCGAGTCTATTATCCATTGTACCGAGAAAGCATATGGATTATTTCCATCAATAGCAGTATAAGTCACATTGGTAGGCTTGGCTGTCATACTGCTCAAAATCTGCTGCAGCTCCTCTATCTGTTTCTTGCTAAAACTGCTTGAGGAACCATCTTGAGAGGGAATATGGGCCTCCTTTTGAAACCTGAACCGTGTGGGTTGCCAGTCGGCTAGTTTTCCGTGCAGCTTCCAACATTGGTCTATCATATGGCCTGGTTTCTTACAATGTTCACACCAGAGGCGATTTTGCCTCTACTGCACTGAAAATCTGAAATCTGAAAAAATAGATTGAGATGGACTGGTCTGGGAAGTGATTTCAGATGCTGAGGGATCCCGATTAGCCATGAAAAAAAATAAAGTTGAACAAGAATTGATTTAAAGAGAAGCGGAAATTGAATTGATCGCTCTTCTCTGATACCATGTAGAAATCAGACTATAGAAAGAAAACAGACTGTATAGTAGAAAACAGACTGTAAGAAACAGTCAAGTCTGTTATTTTATTCTTGCATACTTTCAATAGAAACATATTACATATTTATATACAAATTATGTATCTAAACTAGGAAACTCTAAGTTAGGAAATATACTAATCATAGGAGATGTAATCCCTTGAAATAAGGGATTTGAAAAACAAAAAATAATTACAGAATCTCTTGACAACTCATTTCTATAATTCCTACAGAAATCGCTTGCCTTCATATTGTAAAAGTGGATGATGCTATCATAAGTAATGAATCCAATTTGTGTTCTGGGGAAGCCATGCAACTCATCCAAACATGAGCATATAGTTTGAGCAACAACCTAGCAGATATGTTGTAATTCAACACAAACCATTAAATGAATATATAATGTATAGAGAAAAATTGAAGGTATAGATGAGCAAAAAGGTCTATCAAGGTACATGAAATCAACAGAATTTAATCAACCATGATCAGAAAATGCCTAGAACGACCAGGATGAACACTTGAACAATCAACTAAATAAGTTTTACTAAATCCAGCAAACCCTGTAATAAAGAAACGAGGCTAACCCATGTTTCTCTCTATAGATTCCATGGCAAGGCAAAAGATTCTTGCAAACCTCACTTTATAAACTTATTTGAGACCAAGTTGTGGCAAAGCCCGACCAAATATTACTTCCATATCATATAAAATACATGAGATAGACAATAGATAACCCAAGCTAGCATTTTATACAGAATATCTAAACAAATATTGAGCACCAGTAGCTGATCAGAAAAAGAGAAGCCTCTTCTTATTTCACGTTACAATTAGAAAACTTTGCCTCTATAAATCACTATTAGAATAACACAATGTTTTATTACAACACATTATACTAAATCATTAATGCTTTAAAGGAAATGCTTACCTCAATCATACCACTTCTTACTGCAGATATTGAAACATCAATGAGAAAAAAGTATAGTGGCGGCATTGGAGGCCGCACCATGTATTCAGTTGGTGTAACAAATTCCACTGCCTTTTATAAGCTCGGGCCACTGATCCAAATCAATTCTTCTTCCAGTGGCATCCAAATTGGCAAAATACTCACCAGGAACTGAAATAGAAGTTGAATCAAATAAGCATATGCTTTGTAATTCTAACTATTAAAGAGATCGACCCAGGAAAGAAAACAAATTGGATACAACAGAAGAATAAACAAAAATTACATTCCCAATAAAGAACAATTAGTTAACATATTATATGAAACCCCATACCACACCTATCATTAACTCAAAAGTGCAAAATGCATTTTCCTCTTTACCAGTAAATTGAGAAAGTTAAAGAGTAAAGCTAGGAAAGATGCCCATAACAAACAAGCTTGCAAAAGACTGATATATTTTACCGCAAGTCTATACGAGTGAGTAACGACATCATTGCCCTCCAACAATATTTGACATTCCAAAAACAAAAGAAATGCAGATAAAACACAAAAGAATGTACAACATGGAAAATGATGCCATAAACACATGTCACAACTAGAAACACTTGATGGAACTCATTGCACTTTAAAGACACCAGATTTTGTCCTGCCAACCGAGGAGTCTTCATGTAACCAAAAAAGAAGAGTTGGATTAGGACTCAAATACTAGTCTAAAATAGAGTTGGATTAGGACTCAAATACTAGTCTAAAATAGGGTTTTTAGTACTATAAATAAACCTTGTAATTACCACACCAGGGGACACGATTATCATACGGGATTACGCACACACAAAAATACCCAAAGCAAATATACAATAAGCCCCAAAGATTTGCTTGTAATTTTCAACAGAGAAATAAAAGAGGTATTTTTACCTATATTACTTCGATTCTCGCTTGCATGTGGCTTGTTTCACTTCTTCTTTTTCGTTTTTACTTTGAAAGGGCCGATGAACACAAGGGAACCGGGATCTTTTCTCTTAGATCTACGCTTCCCCGAGGCTTATTTTGAAAAACCGATTTGATTTTCGGTTAAAGAATGGGAAGAGCTTTTTAAAAAACTATATTAGTCCCTTTATTTATTATATGGATATTTATTCATTTATTTATTATTCATGTATTATTATGTATATATATATATATTTTAAATTATTTTCATTTTATTTTTTTACTATATTTTATTATTATATATATATATATATATATATATATATATTTCTTTAATATTTTACTTATAAGTCTATTATTATATATATTGTAATTATCTTTATCTAGTTATATATATGTTTTATACTTTTAATAGTTTATTTATATACCTATTATTAATATATATATTCTTAATTATTTTTATTGATTATTTCTTTATTTACGTAATATATCTTATAACTTTATATATATATATATATATATATATATATATATATATATTATTTTTCGTTTTTTTTATTCATTATTATATTAGTTTTTAAAAAAATCTTGTGTCTTTATCATTATTATTATTAAACATTATATTACATACTACTAACTTAAAGGGCCCATTTTTTTGTTTTATTTCTAACTAAAGTCTCTCCCACTTTCCTATTTTTGTCTTATTTCTGACTAAAGCCCCCCACTTTCGGTGAAGTGAGAGGGTAGTTTTTCTATTTTTAAATATTTGTTGTATATATATATATAGCTTATTTATTTTATTAATACTTTGATGTATATATATATATATATATATTTTCCTTTTTCAAATATTACTATATATAATTATTAATTTACTATTTTTTTCCTTATCTTATTTATTTATTTTATTTTTTCCCTTTTATTTTATTCTCTATATCTTATTTGTTTTCTTTACCTTGTTTATCTAACACATTTCTCGATTTTTTAAGGATATTTTCAAATCAATCTAAGGTAAGTAATCAAGATCAAATTTTACCTTTTTATTTAAAATTACAATTTTCTTAATTTAAGACAACTGAAAATTATGTGGTACTGAAAGGGCGGTTCAAGGGTGTTAATTCTTCCTTGACCGTAACCGACTCCCGAACTCGACACGTTTCTGGTACAACGCAGATCAGGTAAAATGGTGTTCGACCCACCTAAATTCGTTTTAAAGTGATCGGTGGCGACTCTAATCCACATTTTCCTAAGTCGAAGTCCAATTCCGGGGCCCAACCGAAAGACGGTTGCGACAGCTTGGCGACTCCGCTGGGGACAAATAAGCGAGTCAGGCTAAGGTAATTCTCAGTTATCTTTTTAATGAAAAGGGTAAGTTTAAATTTTAAGATAACATTTCGATCTTTATTGCTTACTTTTGGCTATATATTTCCGAGTAAATAGTTGACTGACCATTTTCTAATGATTACAGCTTCCAGAACTTTTTTTTTTCATCTAAAGGCTCTATACCCGAGCTCCGAACCCGTTTTAAGTGGGGTGAAAGCGACGCATTCGTGTGAATTTATTCACCGCATATGCCTAGCAAGTAGCCTTCGAGATTCATGTACCTTGTGTCTTCGTGTGAATTTATTCTCCACATAGACATAAGGGAATGTGTCATCTCGAGTTTAACTTAGTCCACACAAACCTATGATGAGTTTAGAACTAAGAGTCTGGCAAGTCCAAGGGGGCACCGGCAAGGAGAACTCGGGTACCATTTTTTAGAACCTAAACCGGAAGACTATGGAGAATTAGAACCTACCCCAAAACCACATTCTGAAACCTAGGATATTTTTTCATATCTTTTTGTTTTTTTTTTCTTTCGTCATTTTTTTTAATTTTTTTATTTTACTAACCTTTTTTACCTTTGTGTTTGTTTTTTAGCATTTGCATCATAACAAGAGGCTATTGATCCTTCAAAAGCGTTTATTACACACAAAATAATCTGAATTAATGGATAAAGGTGTTGTAATACAAGAGATTAAGAACCCTGAGATACGACTATGGTCCGAGAAGACTCGGGAGAAAAAGGGAGACAGTCTTCAAGGAAACTATGTGTCAGAGTTGGTTAACTACGCCTCTATTAGCCTAAAGCAGAACGACGTGCAAGAGCTTCGGGACATCCGGGGTAGTTGGAAGAATGATCAAAAACATAAGTTCAACCAATGGTACGGTGACATTGCATTGTTGCTTCATATTAAGACTGATGAGCCCTTAAACAGAGCCTTGGTTCAGTTCTGGAACCCGGGATACAGTTGCTTTACTTTTAATCAAGAGGACATGGTACCCACAATTGAAAAGTACACTACACTATTGCACTGTGAAAATATCAGACTGGAGCGAGCTTATATTAAACACATCAAGAGTCAGTCTTTCAAGATTGCACTAGCCAAGGTTATCGAGGTTGACGAAAGATGGGTAACAGACCGATCTCGATGTAAAGGCAGTGGGGAAGTAATTACCTGGCTTCATATCAAGCAACTGATGAAGGACCATCCCGATGAGTGGAAGGAAATAGACCTGTTTGCACTGGGTCTGTATGGCCTGATTATATTCTCGAATACTTTGGGGTACATTGAAGCAGCCGTGGTGGAACTGTTTGAGCAACTTTCGAAACGAGTCAACCTAGCACCGACCATCTTAGCTGAGACCTTTCGGTCTCTCAACCATTGCCGAAGAGCTGGTGGAGGTAGATTCATTGGGTGTGTTCAGCTCCTTCAAGTCTGGATTCACAACCACTTCTGGAAGACTAATGGGGTTGCCTACCGCCGATTTAGCACCACGTATTCACCTTTGAGAGAGTTCATCACCATGAAATAGGATGAAGGCGCTTCAAAAGAGAAGTGGATAAAAGTCTTCACTCATATCCAAGATCAGGATATTACCTAGAGATCCCCCTGGTTGTTCCTCAGTGACGTTCTTTTTCGATGTGGGGACTCTGACACTATGACCTTACTTGGACTTTGGGGTGCAGTTGGGTATGCTCTGCTGTTAGCACTTAGACAGTATGGGGAACGTTAGTTTGTCCCAGCAACATGCGGACTAGCCAGATCAGAGTTTGAGTATCACGGTGACAACTATAAGAAGATGATCAAGGAAGCCGTCGATTCATGGAAGAAAGTATTCTGGATGGATGTTGTAGCTGCCAGAAACATGCTTACTCCAGACTATGTGGAGTGGCGAAGATTGATAAAAAATGACAATATCCCGGTGCCAGACTGTAAGGACACCCGAACCCTGGAAGAACATCCCGGGCCCGTCTTTTCTGAACTTGAGATAGCCAAGACAGAGTTTGAAGCTATGAATAACGAGCTGAAACAGAGGGTAAAGGAGCTTGAAGCTGAGCGCTATCAGTGGAAGCTAGATGTCGACTCTTAGAAAGATCGAGCAGACAAACTTGAAAAAGAATAGAAAAAGTCTGTTTTGAGCTCGAAGACTTGAGAAATGGGTATCAAGATAAAGTCAAGGATAACTCCAAGTTGAAAGTGGCTTCTGAATACTGGAAAGACGAAGCTCATAGCCTGAAAAGAAAGTTCGAAGGGCCTGATGAGAGAGCTTGGAAGGAACAGATGAAGACTGCCCAGAGGCGCTTAGCAGACAGTCAGCATCAAAACCAATGCTTGAGAATCCAGATGGCTGATCTAGAGAAACAACATGAGAGAGATGGAAAAACAATAGCTGAGTTAGAAGCTATTGTAGATGGGTTCTAGAAGAAAGTGAGCGAGCTTCAGATAGTGCTCTTCGACGGAGGTTTACAGTGGCGTTTCCATTGGGAGCAAGCACAACAAAGGGTGAAGGCCAGAGACGCAGTCATCCGAGACTTCCTGGATCAAGTACAGAAGGCAGCTCGTCATCTACACGGCCTGGCAAGGGAAGCTGGAATGGTTCGACAAGGCATACAACCAGTGACAGATGAAGACATAAGACTTGTCAATCTACTAGAAGCTGTTCGGGGTCTAGAGGATTTAGTCCGAATGTACCTTTGATCTTTTTTATGTCTCTTACAAGATAAAACATTTTTGTCTAAGTAAAGATTATTTATAATAATGGACACTTTTCTGGATCAATGCCTCGAACATTTCATGCATTTTGCATTTTTGCCTTTTTGCATCATCATCTACATTTTTAAGCATTTTCACAAACATGAAATTAAGTCATGAAGGACTCGATGAAGTGGATTTAACCACATGGAAGCAAGATTGTAACATTAAAGA